AGCATCTTGTCTTTTATTGTTGGTAACTACTGTATACATTTATCACTTACTGGATAGCACTTTCCTCAAGGTGGGATCTAGGTCTCAGGCCTCTTTGCTTCTCCTGGATTTAATTAGGACAATCCTTTGTAGTAGCAAGCATCTATATTTTTGACAATGCTGTAAGTATTTGTAGACCAAGATGAGATTACTCCGGAAAGAAAAGAAAAGAAAGAAAGAAAGAGAAAGAAAAAGAAAAGAGAGATAAAGGAAGAAAGAAGAGAGAAAGAAGGAAATAAAGGAAAGAGAGAGAAGGAAAGAAAGAGAAAGAAAGAAAGAAAGAAAAGAAAAAAAGAAGGAGGAGGAGAAGCTTACATTGATTGAGTGCCAACTATGAGTCAGGCACCATGCAAACAGCAATAACACATGATACACATCACATTCCATCTTTACAACGAACCTGTCAAGTAGCTGTCATTGTTATCACATTTTATACACAAGAACACTGAGGCTCTGAGATGTAAAATAACTCCCAAAGATCACACTGCTATGAGAGCTGGAACTCCAGCCCTTGACTCCCTGATTCTGGATCTTAAGTTCTTAATTATTAAGGAGAAGAAGGACAGGTGAGGGCATAGGACAGACCCATTTAACACAGGTGATGGAATGGGGGAAAGGAGCCATGCACAGTATTACCTGTGGTCAGTGGGGCAGGGCAGTGTTCTTTCTAGTAGGCAGAACTACTCCTTTCTAGTAAGAGAGTAGATGCTTTCTTCTAGAAAGGATTGTGCTAATTAAGTCCAGGAGGGACAAAGAGGTGTGAGATCTGGACCTGACCTTGAGGAGCATGGGGTCCAGTGAGTGATAAATGTGTAGAATATAGGAACCAACAATATAAGACAGTGTTCCAGGTTCCTGTTGGCATCACGGAGCAGCAGAAAAGCCCAGGGCACTGGGAGAGGGCAAGAAGAAGGGGCGCCAGCAAAGGCACCGCATTCCAACTTGCCTCTTTTCCACTTGGCCCCGAGCTGTTTTGATTATTCAGTTCCTCTCTCTCATGTGGCCATGCCACAGAGAACATGAATTCCCCCAGAACCCACTTCCTTTCTTCAAGCTGACCCTTTACAGAACCCAAACTCTCACCCAGCTTGTCAGTCTGATACCACGCTTGGCCACAGCAATCATGCCTGCTCAGCATTTTTACAGATGGATGCTATTTTCCAGAATGGAGTGTGGAAAAATGGTATATTTTCTTCTGCCATGATAACATCCCCCAAATTAGGGGGGAAAAAGCACCAGGAACTGATATTTTACAAGGTCACACTTCATTTTTCCTGGCTTGATGCAGCCCAGGGCTGAGGGTTTGTTTTCTAAGAAGCTTGTGGGGACACTGGAGACTATCTGGCAGGGTCTGTGCCCTCAGAGTTTGGTAACTCTTTTACAGGGTCTCCCTAAATGGGAGAATGTAGAATTGTAAAGAGAACTAGTATAACATCAAGCCGGCTGGGGAGGGTCTGTCAGATCAACAAAGGCTAATTCCGCGTGTTCCCTGCTGGGTTTCCTACTGCACTCAGCTGAACTGTCTATTAAGAATATTTTCCTAAGTCATCTGTGTTAGATTATAGGCTATAAACTGCTTATTGTTGCCTGGTCACCATAAATATAAAGCAATCATTTTTAATGCAAGCAGCTGTTGGGCTGGCTTCCCCAAGATGCTTCGCCCAGGGACTCAGGTTTTGCCGTATTCCCCTTCATCAAGTGATTTCTGATTGTTTTTCTGCTCTGTTGCATACCACACAAGTGGTGGTGGTGGGGGTATACATCTTCCTTGCAGAGCTTTGTTTGGATGCAGAATTTCTAAAAATACCCAAAAGAAATTGATGGTGCAGCGGGGGTGCAAGTTAAGTTGTATGAAATCCGATGACTCGAGCCCTAATCATAGTCTCTATTTTTAAAAAAATGACCTTGGAAGGACTAGCCTATTTTCTGACCTCCAGCCATAAAATATGGGATCTTGAATTCTACTTATTGAAGATAAATTCATATATATTTATTGAAGATACACTTATATATCTTCTTATATTTATTGAAAAGATGTATTTTGTAATTATATTTGTTTGGGATTTGGGGTTATATTTATTACTTGTAAATTCTTTATGGGGGTCTATAATGTACTAGGACACCACGCTAGACATTAAGGACATAAAGGTGAGTCAAAATTGACATGGTGCCTGCTCTCCTGTCTCTTTGTCTAGTAGAAGAGATAGACTGATCAAATTATTACAAAAATTGCTATATGGGATATAAAGGAAATTTAAGGAACCAGTAAAATATCTAATCTAGTGATCCATGAAGATGTCCCTAATCAGCAGCTGAGCTGAAACACCAAGGGTAAATGAAGTTAACTCGACAAGGGAGGAGGGAGAATGAAGGAGAGATTTCTAGGGAGACTGGGAGGTGAGAATTGGCAACATGCATTATAGGAACCCAGGGAAGGACAGGGTACTTGATGCAGAAAGAGAGGCAGGGTCTAGATCTAGCAGGGGTTTGGGGACATCTTAGTCAATTTTCCATTGCTTATAACAATATCTGAAACTGGGTAATTAAAAAAGGAAAGAAATTTATTCTTTACAGTTATGGAGGCTGAGAAGTATTTAATACAAGGCTAATGGACCACAACTGGTAAGGACCTCCTTGCAAGTGTGGACTCTCTGCAGAGTCTTAAGGTAGAACAGGGTATCACATGGTGAGGGGGCTGAGCATGCTAACTCAGGTCTCTCTTCCTGCTCTTATGAAGCCACCAGTCCCACTCCCATGATAATGGTTAATCCATTAACCCATTAGCCCATTAATTCATGAATAGATTACTTATTCATGAGGGAAGAACCCTCATGATCCAATCACCTCTTAAAGTCTTAACTTCACAATAGCACTACATTGAGGATAAAATTTCAACATGAGTTTTGGAAGTGGCAAATATTCACACCACAGCAGGAGGCTATGTGAAGAAGAGCTTTGTCCTCACCCTGAGACCAACAGGAAGCCACTGGAACCTGTGGCAGTTAGTTAGGGTCTCAGAGGGAAACTGCTGGTTTCCTCAAACCACACTTAAGTGATGTGTTGGAGATAATTTCAAGAAGACATTATTTTCATGGGTTTGGGTGGAATTAAAGGAACCTGGAAAGGATATTGAAGCACTCAAGCAAAGCAACATCAAAAAGCTATGCTCACCTCTTGACCTGAAGAAGCAAGAAGAGGAAACGGGGCGAGCTGTGGCTGGAGAGGGGCCACCCTGCAGGAGCTGTGGTCAGGGAGGCTCACGGTCAGTGTTAGGACTGCAGCACTCTGGTAGGAGTAGGTACTTCACACTCTTTCTGCTATTTCCCTTTAGTCCCTGCTGGATCATTTTATTCGCTGAATCCAAACAGAAACCAGAAAGAGGTATCCGTTAAAATCAGCAAGTCCTCCCCCAACAACCAGGGTATAAAGCAGGGCAGAGAAGGACTGCATTGGAGTGGCATTGAGGGGCAAGTAGAGAACAAAAAGCACAGAAGGCTTTCAGGCTGTGAGTGGCATGATCATGTTTGTATTACAAAATAGATCATTCTGACTGCTCTGCAGAGAACTAACAAACTAAGATTAAGAACAGGAGGACTTGTAAAGTGGCATCTATAGCAATCAAGGGAGCAATTATGAATGGCAGCCTAAGCCAGAGTGGGGACAAAGTTGATGGAAAGAAATGGACCAATTTAGGGATTTCTCACATGGTAGAGCTTGGCCAAGACTAGAAGGAACTTGGCAGTCTTCAAATTGCACCCATCCATTGTTGTGGAATAACTGAGACTCAGACAACAGAAGAGACTTGAGCCAGAGGTAGATTTCTTCCCTCACCTCTTCTACTGCATAGCCACTGTCAATATGCTTTGCCTGAATTATACCTGGCTCCTTCATATTTACTCTCCAGGACAAATTCCTTCCTTCTCTAAGTCCTCTGAAGGCCACCTTGGCAATACTTACTCCCGGAAACTTAACTTTATCTTCCTGACTGTAGGTTCTGTATTCCATGGCCTCCTTGCTCAGAAGACTTGAACATTCGCTGCCTTGAAGAGCAGAACACCCTGAGCTCACCTCAATGGCTGGATCAGGATAAGCAAAGAGTGCTGAGGAAGCAGTGAGCAGCCTCTTCCCATCTTTATTTCCATTAGTAAATAATTATTGGATGCTTACTCTTCTCTGGGCTACATTTAAATTTTGTAACCATACATGGAGATTATATATATATATGTGTGTGTGTGTGTGTGTGTGTGTATATATATATATATAAAACCGCCCTCTTAACCTATGTGAGCAAGCTGAGGCTCACATAGGTTAAACAAGGTCCACAGTTGGTAATTGGAAATGCCTAGACTGAAACCCAGATATGCCTGCCTCTAAATGTCCATGTCCTTAACCACTATACCATACTGCCTCTCACATACTTGGCACAGCACTATGTTAGGTGCTCTCGTTTGAGGTATGAGGTTGAGAGGGCTGGTTAGAGTCATCAAAAAGGAGGCGGTGATTGATAGTCACAGACAGCGACTATTAATCCCTTTCCTTCCTATATGTACATACTGCTCACTGTGTCAAGAGGAGAAGTCTAATTTCCCTATTTCTGAGTCTGGGATGGCTTCAGATTTTGTGTTAGACAATCAGAATCTGGGATTTCTGAGGCTACATTGCAAAGAACTACTTCCTCTTAGGAGCCAGCTGCCATAATGTGAAAAGCCCAAGCTGCATGAAAAGTCCACATAGAGATGTTCCAGGTAATAGTTTCAGCTGAACTCTATGCGGGCAGCTACTCAAGCCTTCAGATGACTGCAGCCCCAGCCACCATCTGACTATCATTATATTGAGAAGGACAAGTGAGAAGTACCCAGACAAGCCCAGTCAACTCAAGAACTGTAGGAGATACGAATAATGTTGCTCTAAGTCACTTAAGTGTGGTTCATTACGCATTAACGGAGCGTCAGGACACAGGGTAAGGTCTCTTGTGGAAACAATATTTAGACAAATGAAACATAACCATACCACACATACACTTCTACTCCCAAGAAGTTGTTAATAAGAAGCTGTTTTCCTGGTAGCTTTCTCTTCTCTGAACATCCTACCAGTTCTTGAGCCCAGTCTCATTTTGTCTGCAGGGGACTTGGTTCCTCTGAGGGCCTCAGTATCCAAGTCAGAGGTCAGCCAGGGACGATGAGAGCTCATTGGTCCACACCTCTTTGCCTTCCCCTCCTTGTTAGTAGGTGAGCTACAGCTCTCCTTCATCACGCTTTTCCAGGTGCATAAATCAGCACGACACTCCCTCATCTGTCTCCATGACGCTCCCCTGTCCCCAGTCTCCCCGAAGCCAGATGGCACTGGAGCTCTCTGGAAGAGGGCATCTCATGGACATGATGTGATATTGCAGACTCAGCCTATTCTATGCCCCAGGCTAAGGATGACACAGACCAGGTTAATAAGTGAGCTGCTGGGAAGCTCTTCAGAGTACCAAGCTGTGGGGGCAACTAAAATGTCCCTGGAATAAAATTCACATAGGGAGCCAGTTAACTTAGATCTCTATTCATGACTGCTGACAACACTGGTGAAACATAATTTGGTTTGGCTGCAATTAAACACTCCCTATGGTTACCAGCCAAACTCTGTTGATCTTTGTGTTAAGTGCCTGCAATTTACATGGTGTGTCTAAAGCTTCACCACTAACTTTGAGAATGGCCCTCTGAGAGTACCCTGTAACAGTTTAGCCTGCTGACATTCTGAAACTAAAAAATTCATGATGCTGTCTATGCTCTTTACTGGGAATAATTTATTAGAATGTCTGCATTTAAATAGTTTAATATGCCTCTCAAGAAATTGTCTAGTTCAGAAAATCACATGTAATATTACATGGAAAATAAATCTTTATTTTGAACATAAAAAGCACATACTTTTATTACATATTTCTATTCTTACTAAACGTTGAACAGACATGCAAAAAATAATAGTGTAAAGAAGCCCCAAGTTACTCACCTGACATGTGCCTGCCTCATTCTGGCCTGGATGCATGGATAGTGGTAGGAGGCAGAGGGGCAGAAATTCAGGGAAATTGTGCTGGAAATCTTTTCTTTCCACTTGCGTTTCTTTCCTTGTAAAATCAGATCAAAGTGAATCTTCAAAGTAAATTTAACATGGAAATGAAGTAAAACAAAACAAGAAATAGTCTCAAATATTAGTCAGGAAGTGGGGAACAGCAGATCATTTATTTGGCTTTGACATTTTGAGAGACAGACAGTGTGTGCTGATGGCTTGTATAGAACCTTGGATCTTTTTCAGCTCTGTTAGGTAGATCCAGTTCTTCCTGATCCAGTCAATACTTCCTTCATTCACTGGCCAATCATTCTTTCTCCTCCTCTTCAAATAAGGAAGTATTAGACTTCCCAGTTGTTGGGGTTGGGGAAGTCACCCTTCTGCATGTTTCCTATGTGCAATCTCCAGATCACAGATGTGTTACTCTTGGTCCTCCAAGAAGCAGCAGCCAAGCTTGTATTATACATACAGGAGATTTATTGAGGAAGTGTCTGTGAGGGGAACAGGAGAGGAATCAGAGGAGGCAGGAAGTGCTGTCAGACCGCAAGACAGGTCTGATGCTGAGAAGGAGAGTGGAAAGGAAGCAGGGTTTGAAAGACAGAGTCTCAGACTGCAGCACAGTGCTAGGGAAGTTTCACCAGTGATGGAGGGTTTTAGAGCAACTTATCCAGTATCTCACAGGAATGGATCTACCTTAGAATCTTGTGCTCAATTATTTTGCTGGGAAGCAAAGCCCAGAGCAGAGCATACGCTGTCATGGATTTGGAGCAGGACAGCTGGGAGTGTCTATCAGTTTATGGTCTCCATGTGCAAGAGATCTGAGTGGTACATTTTCATGGCCACTGTAGCTGTAGCAGCCATCCTGCGGGAGCAGCCCACAGAGGAACAGGAGAGGAGAGGAAGGAAGAGAGATGGCAGGGAGGGGTCAAAGACCAATATGACCCAATTTTTCCCAGGGCCCAACTCACGTTTCACAATGGAGAGTACTAAGGATCAAGGCCCAACTCACAGTTCAAATGAAGAATGCAAGTCTTGTTAGGTTTCTGACTCCTGAACCCCGGGCCAGCATGAGAATCCACTAGTTCAACTACTGCATGCTAGCCTAGAAGGCATGCATCATTTATTACATTTTACCTAAAAGCAAATGTGATTCAGGTTCCAAACAATCAATTTTCAATTGGTCTTTGGGGGATGCAGACATTCAAACTCAGGCAATTATCAACAATAAAGTATTTCAGTTCTCACAATGGTGCAGCCATCAGCGGAGAATATCAAATAGGAGGATAAGATATTTATTTTTACACACTGATATTGCTGCATGGCAGAGAAGAAGCAATTCATTCTTTTCAGAAATATTTACTGAATGCCTTATGTGTTGTCAGGAATCATCCCAGATGCTAGAGTAGTAGGTAGATTTATTTGAGGCTGTTCAAGAATGAAGAACTAAGAATGGGTGAATAGAAGCCATAGGGAGCAGGATTTAGATTTAAAATAGCAAAGTATATCTTTAACAATTTTAAGAATTCTGTCTTCTGGTTGAACATATGCTACCTTCCAATGCGCTCACCAGCTCTTTGCTCACATGGCTGTCACTCCGTGGATCACACTGTGTTCCAGCTAGTTATTTATGGGTTTATTTCCCTTGATAGTTTGCAAAAATCCCCACAGGATTAGGAGCATATGCAGTAATTAACTAATCAAATAATTAACTCATCATTCACATATTTATTCAACAAAGGTTTGTAAGTGCTTTGTCTGTGCCTGCTGTTTGTATCTGGGGAGGCCAAGATAAGCAAGATACAATACCTGTCCTCCAGGAGCTCATAGTAAGTTAGGGAGAAGGATGAGGAGACATTAGGATAAACCTGTGAAGAGCAAGAGCATCAGGGAGGGCATAACTGACTCTGCCAAGGGGGCAGCAATGAAAAAATTCATCATAGAACTGATGACTTCTGAGTGACATTGTGAAGGATGAGTGACGCTATCTGGGATTCTATCTCTAGTTTCTAGTACAAATAAGTACTCAGTTCATATCTGCAAAATGAAAGAATGAAGATCAGTAAGTAGAGTGTGACTGAGGGTATATTTTCCTAATCAGCATCTACTGCTGGTGACAGTCCTTCTCCCCTGGTTCCAGAAGTGGGCTCGTGACCCAGGCTTTTCCAAACAATTGAGCAGGTCCTGGTCACAGCTATTGGTTCAGGAGAGTGGAAGTGGTTAAGGTTGGTCTAGCAAGGCACATCCCAAGACTTGGCTGAGTGGTACACCTTCTGCTGGGCCTGGAGTTGTGGGATGTCAGCCAGGGAAATCTGGGGCCACACGATAGTGACAAAATCTGTCTGAAAAAGAAATTACATAGAGAAAGCATGACTGGGGGCTGAAGAGAGAGAAATTGGGTCCTGATGACATTGTTTTAGCTCCTGGATCCAGCAATATAAGAAGTGGGTCTCTCATTTATCTGCTCTTTAGGTAATCAATAAATTACTTTGAGGGGGGCAACATTTAAGCCAGTTGAGCTGACTTTTCTGTTACTTGCAACCTAAATTGTCTTGACTATAGGATGAGATCCTTCACAAAGTATGGAGTTCTCCATTTCCCACATGAGTCACATAAAATGATAACAAGCCTATCAGAGAAGGAAATGTTGTTACTGGTGTACCGTAAGTCCTTGTAGCCTTGCTGATTGAAGCTGGAAATGTCACTATTACCTAAAGCAAAAAATGAACATGAAAGAAAGAAAGGCAGGAGTGAGGGAGGAAATCTGTATCATAATATCAACCAGACTGCCCAGCAGGCTTTTAATAAAGGCTTGGTCTGTTTAGCCTAAAGTTTTATTTCAGAATGACTAATTTCTGCATATTGGGTGAGGGACAATATTAACCCAAACCAGAGAGAACTGACACACACACAAAAGTGGTTAAAAAGAATCACTGGGAGGCTGAGGGGGTTGGATCACAAGGTCAGGAGATCAAGACCATCCTGGCTAACACAGTAAAATCTCATCTCTATTAAAAATACAAAAAATTAGCCAGTGTGGTGGTGGGCACCTGTAGTCCCAGCTACTCAGGAGGTTGAGGAGAGATCACACCACTGTACTCCAGCCTGGGTGACAGAGTGAGACTCCATCTCAAAAAAAAAAAAAAAAATCAAGTGTGTGGGTTCATTAAGAGAAAGAGATGTGGCTGCTGAGAACGGTATTTTTCTTTCTCCTCTTCTCTAAGTGCATCATCTAGGGAGGAATTACTGCCAAAATTCAAAGTCCTCCCAACTTCTTGACAAACACAAACATCCTCCCCATAGTCCCAACTTTGGCAGAGACCAGAGGTGAAAGTCCCTACTATCCTCAATCCAGGGATCTGAGTCAAGAGGCCAAGAAATCTGTACAACATATCCAGGGTAGGAGAGCAGACACTGGAATGCAGGAGAATGAATTCCATGAAGCGGAGATACAAACAAATAGCTGATGCTGGAAGACAGAGTGTCTTCTGACTGTTTGGAAACCACTAGACTCTGGTTCTATTTATAAAGACATGTTCTACAGAACCAGTTTGCTTTGTTACAACTCGAGGCCACATCACCAACATATTCCAGGCACCAGTGGACAGCAATCACGATGTGGGTCCAGGGCTCTGACCTCTTTACTGAGTTCACCCTGGCTCTGGGTAGGGACAGAGGCAGAGTGATTTTGTGTTTTCTACTTTCAATAACTGGGGTGGGACACAGATGCACAGCCTTCTGCTAGATTTCTAGCCCTTCTTGCCCTCCTGTCAGGTTCCTTCTTTCTTGCTTGCCTGCCTCCCTGACTTGTCTTTTCATCCCCTCTTAGCAGAAAGGACACTCCTCATGAGTCAACATGCATAGATTGTGGTTTAAGCTTTGCCAGTAACTGGTTGTTCAACATTAGGCAAGTTATTTAATTACCCTGGACCCCAGTTTCCTCATCTGTAAAATGGGCTTAAAGTGTTTGCCCAATTCGTCTTCCTTAAATATAAAGAACTGGGATGTACGTGTGGGTATTAAGGAACCTGAGATATATTACAGAAATGATGCATATTTAATTTTGTTTTGCCCAGCATGGCTCAAATAAATTTGAAACAAAACCTCTTTAAAAAAAATCTAGTCACATTCTCTTGCTATTCTCTGGTATGCAGGCTGAGAAATGGTTGGGGCAGAGAGTTGAATTTGTGTTCTCAACTTGCATTTTGCCATCCTTCTATTTAAAGAGGTTAGGAATAAAAACTCTATGTCTCAGGCTTCCTAGCAGCTAGGGTTCTGCATTTGGATTAGATTTCACTACTTAGATGTACTCATGAGAGATAGGAGAGATGTTTTCATTACCTGCTCAATCCTGATGATCCACTGACCTTGATGATCTCTTAAGCCTAGTCCAACTCTATGGGATGTCGATGTTTTCTTTCTTGGCTGTTATCTTCTCTTAAGAAAATAACTTCTTTAGATATAGTAGTTTTAATCCATTTCTTCTCTTAAGAGTTGAAATAAATCCCAAGAAATAGTTCTAGGATAAATCAGGAGAGGGTAATGCTAGCTGGAATTCAACTTTCTCTGAAGTTCCCATCATTTTTTACAGTTCTTTTTTGACACAGTAGGATATAGTTCATCTTTCTGGGGCCTTGTAGCAACTCCAAAAAAAAGAGACACTTGCAAAAGAGTTAAAACTATAACCATAGTGCCCCCATGGTTCCTGTGGTAGCCATTACGAGGCCAGACTGAGCTGGGCACACAGAAACTATCCCTCCTCTGAATCCCCTGTTAATTTTATAGGCATCACGTTAACAATCCCTGTTAATTTTACAGACATCTTGGAATGTCTCATCACATTCCAATATCATCTTAAGTGGTGCTCCACTTAAGATAATAACATAATAGCTCTGAGAAGGCAGAGACCTAGGTCTGGCTCCCCGATAACTCAGTAAACAACCTTGGTCAGAACAAATAACCCTGCCATCCCTTAGATTCCCTGGTCTAAAACTGACAAAATGCCATTTTCCCTGGCTGCTAGGACTTTAGACAAATGGGAGACTCTGAAGTGCAATGAGTTTTAAAATTGAGCTTTTAAAGTGGGCTTCAGATATTACCATGGTAAACCTTATTTTGACTACATAGAGGTAAAACATGAGAAGTCAGACTCATCAAAACATGGGACAAAGAACCTCTAGGTGTCCCATGCTCTGGCAAAAATGTGAGGCAGTTAGAACTTGCCTTTATCTTCTTCTAAAGGAGAAAAACTCAGTTTTTCAACTTTTAGGACCAGAAACTTTTCCCCACTCTTCCTCTGCCCCTTAGCATTCTACAGCATTGCAGCTGTGTCCTGCCTCTCAGAGAAAGAGCATATGTTATAGAAAGCTCATTTAACCCAAGGCTGTGGTTTCAACCCTGGCTGCTCATCATGTCTGGAGAATTTCAGAGAGCACAGATGCCGGGGCCCCAAACCTAGAAACCCGATTCAGTTGGTCTTGGATGGGGCCCAGGTGTACTAACTATTCAGAAGCTCCCACAGGTTGGGAACCATTGGGGTATTATTACCTATGAATACTTCAAGTAAAATCATGGAAGGGGTTCCAGAAATAAACTCGTCTTGCTCCACACCTACTCAGGGTTTCCATAAAGCAAGTTACTGCCATTCACTTTGACTTGTAAGCTTCAAGGTAGCCAAACTCAGAGTGTGGCTCTTCCCACAAATAAGAAGCTTGTAAAATCTTGCAGTAATGCCAAGGTTAGCTCAACATGGAGCTTCTGTCTAGTAGCTGGTGCCTGGTCCTAAAATTCTGTGCCCACTCTGGCTACTTGCTTGATTGTACTCAGTCATCCCATACTCAAATACTCCCAGAATCAAATTCTCTTCTCTCTGCCTGGTGCCCTGTTCCTCATCTAATCCTCCAATATTAACCTCAGGGCATCAAATAATGACAAACACAAGGGTTTTGAATTAGAACTTGTTCAAGCTTGACTCCATTGCTCTGTAACTTAGGGTTCCTCAGGAAAATTATTCAGAGTCTTGGTTTCTTCATCTATAGAGTAGGGGTAATATTACCCATTCTATTCAGTTTCAGTTTTGATACATAGTAAATACTGAATAAATGTTTGGTCCCCTTATCCCAACCTCATTGTTCACCTTTTACTTATTTCCACCCATTGTCTGTGTCCCAAACATCAAGAATGTGACAAGTAATCCAAAAAATATCTATTAGGATTTGGGGTATCAGTAGTAAAGTGTTTTAGGGAAAGGAATACCTTTTTGCTACAACTGAAACTACAGCTACTGATTCCCACTAACTTTCTTAGTCCCCACATAAGGATTGTGACCATGACATTGAGGAAAGTCAATGACAGTGCCATGACAGCGTTTGTCACAACAATAATGATAAAACACAAGGGCTTGTGTTTGGGATTCAGAAAAACAATGTATGTAGTGAGAGGAGTGAGCTGATAGTTACTTGTGGGAAGCTGAAAAATAAACCCAGAGAGACCTGGAAGGGACAGACAACCAGATGTCCAACTAGGAAGCAAAAATCTTGGCTGGATTCTGTTTCAAACCACAGAATCTGAATTTTTGGAAGAAAGCATTAAAAACAATAAATTACCCCAAATGGCAAAGTTAGGATTCAACTGCCTCAAACTAACAACTTAGGCACTTCTGAAAGAGAAATATTCCAGATGGCAAAGTGGAAGGATGAATTATAGAGAAGGAAGTGGCTAATATCCTGTGCATTTACTTTGAAGCAATAGAAAAAGAAAAGTTTTGTGAAGGAATGGGCTGGGGAACCCAGTGTTTCTGGGGGACAGAAATGGGGTACCATTCAATCAGTGGCAGGCTGCTGACCCCACTGGGCAGCCCTGGGTGCCTGGGGGTCAGGCATGATTTCAAATGGCTTTCTGTCTTCCAAGTGATTCTGGAACAAATGACTCTGAAGTGACCACATGAAACTTCCAGGGCTTTGATTTGGTGTGGTCCATCTGGCTTCACTGCCTAGTTCAGGGTTCAGTGGCCTAGATATGATTTCAAATCTCAGTTCCTTTTTATCTTGTACCTCTGTTTATATGAGGACACTCCAGCCCTCAAATCAATGGGATTGGATCTGAACAGTGGAAT